AGTTTCACGTGGAGCAAAATGGATATATGTAGGCAACAACAATAAAGTTGTTGTTGAAGGAATCAGTACATGCGAGTTAGTCCTACGTGGTGGTCGAGACCTACTACTACATGATGTTCTCTTTGCACCAACAATTCACCGGAATGTTATTTGAGTTTCAGTTTTGCTTAAGTTAGGATTTGACTTGTTTTATCATGGCAATTCTGCCAAGTTGACTTTTGGTTCAACTTTATATGGTTTTGGTCATGTGACCAGAGGTTTAATTATTATGGATTTGGATTATGACTCATTTAATAATAATGCTAGTTTTTCTATGTTTGTTTCTTCATATAAATATGATAGTGATATAAACACATGTCATGCTAGACTTGGTCATATTGGCCAACAAACAATGCAAAGGTTAGCAAAACAAGGTTTGCTTTCCAGCATTGAACATGTGGAATGGACACTTGTGAAAATTGTCTAGCTGAAAAATCTGCAAGAAAACCTTTTGGTCAGGCGACTAGAGCTGAATATCCTTTGCAATTAGTCCATTCGGATATCTGTGGGCCTATGAATGTTAGGGCTAGGCATGGAGCAAGTTATTTCATCACATTTATTGATGACTTTACCCGTTTCAGTTATGTCTATTTAATTTTCCACAAATCAGAAGCAATAAGTTGCTTCAAAAGCTATATGAGCTTAGCGGAAAATCAATTAGATAAGAAGATAAAAGCTCTTCGAACTGATCGTGGTCGTGAATATTTATCAACTCAGTTTAATAAATTATGTGATGAAAATGGAATAGTTCATCAGTTGACTATCCAAAATACTCCACAACAAAATGGTGTTGCAGAGAGAAGAAACAGAACGCTCCTAGAAATGGTTAGGTCAATGATAGCACAAGCTAACCTCCCAATAAGTTACTGGGGTGATGCGTTACTTACTGCCACCTTTGTGCTTAGTCGAGTGCCTACAAAATCATTTACTACTACTCCATATGAGTTATGGACTGGAAGACAACCCGACCTGAGTATATTAAGACCTTGGGTTTGTGCTGCATATACATATGATTCCTCTCATAAATATGGCAAATTGGGCCCGAAGGGAAAGAAAAGTATCTTTATAAGATACTCTGAAACCTCAAAGGGTTATGTATTTATAGGTCAGCAGGATAGTGGGAGTGTAACTGAGTTTGAATCACGAGATGTCACATTCTTAGAGGATGAGTTCCCTAAGAAGGGAGAGGTAGGTTAAGACCTAACCTTATTTGAGATAATGGATTAAGAAGTACTAGGATTACTTCATTCGAGTGGGAGAACTTTAGCAGATGATGAATTAGTTTCTCATCAAAGACCTCCTTCATCATTAGATGCGAATGAAAGTGATCCTTCTACATTTAGTGGAAGTGACCAAATGGATCTTGTTCCAAGTGGAAGCGAGATGGTCACAAATCTTGTTCAAAGTGGGAGTAGGATGAATGATCTTGATCCGAATAGGAGCAACATTGATCCAAATAGGAACAATGATGAATCACAAATAAGACGTGGTTCTCGTAAGAAGATTCCCCGCCGACGATTTGATGTTGAAGGCGGCGAACTATTTATGTTGCTCTTACAAGAAGAAAACGAGCCTAAAAATATAAAAGAGGCTCTTTCATTCCCTTCTAAGGATAAATGGACAAAAGCAATGGAAGATTAATTGGAGTCTATGAGAGCCAACAAAATTTGGGAACTAGTTGACCTCCCTGAAGGAAAGCAATTGGGAGCAAATGGGTTCTCAAAATTAAGCTCAAGGCTAATGGCACAATTGAGAGATATAAGGCTAGACTGGTGGCGAAAGGGTATACACAACAGAAAGGAATAGACTACGAAGAGACTTTCTCGCCTGCTGTATGATTTACCTCAGTTCGCCTGGTTCTAGCTATTGTTGCAAACTTGGATCTTGAATTACATCAGATGGATGTAAAGACTGCCTTTCTCAATGGAGAACTTGATGAAAAAATCTATATGGAACAACCTGAGTGTTTCATTGAAAAGGGCCACGAACAAAAGGTTTGTAGACTTTTGAAGTCTATTAATGGCCTCAAACAATATTCAAGGCAGTGGTATATACGCTTTCAGAATGTTCTTATATCCAATGATTTTACCATGATGGATGAAGACCATTACGTTTATACCAAGAGATCAAGAAACAACCTTGTGATTTTAACATTATATGTAGATGACATACTTATAGCTGGAAATGATAAGGAGTTTATAACCGAGATAAAGTCATGGTTATCATCTCAACTTGAGATGAAAGATATGGGTGAAGCTGCATATATTCTTGGAGTTAAGATTTCAAAAGATCGTCCAAAGAAACTATTGTATCTCTCACAAGAAAATTACATTGGAAAAGTTCTTGAACGATTTAATATGCAAAATAGTAGCCCAGTTGAAACTCATATGAGTAAAGGCCATACCTTGGGAAGTCAGATGTGTCCTAAGACTCCTGAAGAGACAGAAAGAATGAGCCGAGTTCCTTATAGGAGCACAGTCGGAAGTCTAATGTATGCTATGGTGTGCACTAGACCTGATATCTGTCAAGAAGTTGACTTGGTAAGTAGATATCAAACCGACATAGGTTTAGCACATTGGAAAGCAGTAAAGAGGATTATGAGATATCTGTAGGGAACTGCTGATTATGCCCTTTGTTATCAAGGCGGCAAGGATCTGCGATTAGTTGGATACAATGATGCTGATCATGGAGGAGATCTAGACGAGAGGAAGTATACCTCAGGATATATTTTCTTATTCAGTGATGGCGCCATATCATGGAGCAGTAAGAAACAATCATGTGTATCACTATCTATGATGGAAGTCGAATACGTGGCTCTCGCATCAGCAACACAAGAAGCTATTTAGTTGAAAAAGTTCTTGGAGCACTTGTTGGATATCACTGAAAATACTGAACCAATATTAGTCTACTGTGACAGTGAGGTTGCAATATCTTCCACCAAGGACCCAAAGTTTCATTGTAAAACCAAACATATAGATATCAAGTATAACTATGTGAGAGACATGGTTAGACGCAATGTAGTGAATGTGAAGTATGTGTCTACAAAAGATATGTTAGCAGATCCATTGACCAAGCCTTTGTTTAGAGATGCATTTGGTAGACACACTAGGTCTCAAGGCTTACGTAGACTCTGAGATACTTTATTTTGTTATTTATTTTCCCATGTTCACAAACCGATGTTCTTTGATTATCAATAAAGTTGATTTATATATATACATATTTTTTTTGTTGAATGTTATGTGCATTCTTTATTTTTTTTTGATAAGTATGTTTGGTAGACAAGAGGTTGGCCTTCTCACACAGGTAACCGCCTCTTTATCTTAGTGATGTGAGGAGATGAGACATGGTTTTAAGAAAAATTATCATAAGGATAATTTGAGAGCTATTCGCTTAAAATTAGAATGTCGCTTAAACAATGACATAAGGTCATTAGGGTGAAAAACATTCACCTAGTCTACTTTGTGAGCCAGATGTGAGTTAAAAATGATATTGTAGATCAAAGAACTCAAATTTAGATATTTATGGTTATGGTGTCTAAATATCATCTGTACAACATTCTTTATGAGATAAAGACATACGTTCCTTAGGAAAAAGGAGAAAATGTTGTAGCACATGTTTCATACCATGTTTGCTAATGTCGACCAATTGGGTTAATTTAAGTCCATTCTCAACTTATTATTGTGAGAGACCCAGAGCTTTTATGATAGCTCAAGATTTTGTACCCTTATAGACTCTGATCAGATACTTGAGACTTAGTGTGATGTTAGCTATCTTAGTGTGTTTTCAAAAGATCATGAACACAGATTCGGTCTAGCGGAGCATATCTAGAAAAACAGTCATACTAATGTTAAGGGAATCGTGAAAAGAGGAAGATCATTGATGGAATCTCATTTATTTGTATTCACTGGTGCACCAATTATAGCTTATGAGTTATGATTGTGAATACAAGAAATAATGATATATGAGATTTTGAGACTATATCAAATGTGATATATATATATATATATATATGATCTAGGGTACTACATACTTTATGATCCACTTGCAGGTTTGCGCTCGACGAGAGGCTATATACTCCTAACAGATGTATAGCACTTAGTTCTCACAGTATGCTGGTCGCACGGTCTACTTCCCTGTATGAATAATTGAGGAGATGAGTTGAGAATATGTTTCTCAAACTAGATGAGCACTCCCATTATGTGTGAGTGAGAGATGTAGGAAATATTGGGTCCACCCATAAGGGGTGCTCTAAGGCCCAAATAGGGTTATTAGTTAACCCTAATATTTCCTATATAAGTACACTTAGTGTGTACACAAAAAGGTGACTCTAAGCAGTATTCTTCCACGCGCTCTTTCTCTCTCTCAATCCAAACAAGGGTTTTGACTGTGAAATTGGGGGTTGCTCCAACGCACCGTGACAACCACTGCCGACCAGTAATTCCAGCCGCGATTCAATCCGTTTTCGCTTCCGCTTTATGAAGAACAAATAAGTTCTCGTTTTACGATTTACAAACTAATCTAACGTGTTTAGATTTCAAATGAATTTTTTAAAATAAATACATAGCTTGGACCAAAGTTATTGATTCAGCTGAACCCGTAACTTCTACTCTCTTTTCGCCCGTGTGCTGGTATCTCTTATTTCTTAGGCAATCAAGCATGCATGTAAACGTATAGAAACTTTACCTAGGGGAATAATTTATTCAATCAGCTCTATATATCAAAAAATATATATATTCATGCAAATGCAATCCTGTCATTTCGTTCGCTAACAAAATTTGATTGACCCACTATATATTATAATTATAATTAATTTCGTAAACGTGGACAATATGATCAGGATATCGGTTGTTCTTTATACTACTTCACTTGGATCGTTCTTATTCTATTACTAGTAGCTATTTTCTTCAGATTCTTCTCCAAAAGTAACCTCCCCGATTTAACAATAAATCATGAATTTATGGCTAATCCAGTTTAAGAACACAACAATGACTACAAAGCTCCTTCTCTCCTTCTTCTTCAATTGGTTCGAAGCTTCTCCAGCCATTAGCAGTTGCTGATGTGTCAAACACGTGGACTTCAGTTTTGGTTCTTGATATCTCCCCTTGCATCTTATAGCCAGCCAAGAAGTAGAGTTTAGTCCCTATAGGCGCCATTGTGCAAAAAATTCTTTGCATAGGTGGACACGTAATTGCCTCCGTGGCATCTGACGTGGATATTGGTGAATGTGACCCATCTACAATGTTCCACATATTTAGGTTTTCATCATAGGCTTCTATATGTCCTTTCCATGCATTTAAGCAATCACCTGAGCTGAATAATTTCCCATTAACATTCACTATTTGATTAGGTGGTATATCCAGGTCCCACATTCTTGCCACGTAATCCCACTTTTCTTTTTGTGGATCGTACAGCTCAGCAGAGCTTCTTTCCATAATATATGGTCCTTGGCTGTCACTGTTTCCCCTTTTAGCGAATCCTCCCACCACATAAATTTTACCTGTTAGAAAAAATAGAAATACGGAATAATTAAGGGAAATATTTGTGGCGTGAAAGATTACTTTTGGAATTTGAACTTACCTTAATTGGTTATAACCTGAAAGGATAGTGACCTGATCCAAGTGGTGAATAAACAAAATGCCTAATATTAAATTATTACGTGTGTGGATACGCAAGGTCAAATAACAATTGGTCTGTGATGGTAGACACTCCTTATAAATCGAGGTCAATCCTCCTTTCCCTAGCTATCAGAAAGAAACCCTAACATATTTTGTTCTTGAGTGTGTGGTTAGCGGTTGATGTTCCATTAGTTGAATTCTGGTAGCTAGCGGATCGTGAACTCGGCTTAACCACCGACGATTGCAGCCTTCGAATTCAAGGAGTTGAATGGTACACTTGATTGAATCTAAGTGTCTTAATCTCTGCTATGGTAGTACATACATTTTCTTATAATTACTACATTTAAAAAATATCGTTTTTAGAGTATAAGTCCTATGCATTATTGCAATATTAAAAAGATTTATACGAATAGGTTATTTAAAGGAAAATGCAAGTAATTCTCCATACAAACATTAATATTGGTAACCTTAATACTCCTATTGCAAAATACTACTACTAAACATTACCTTGCCATGCCACACCAGCAGATTTGTACCTCAATGTGCTCATATTTGGTAATGGTTTCCATTCATCTATAGCAGGGTCATATACTTCAGCAAAACAAGTACCCTCGGCACTGTCTAACGTTGTTTGTCCACCCGCAACATAAATTTTACCATCTTTACAAGTGCATGCAAAGTTATATCTCTGTGTAACTAAAGGTGCACAAGTAGACCAAGTATCCGTCCGAGTGTTGTATTTAAGAACTGAAGATCGCACATTTATGTCCCTTTCATGAACAGAATCGTCAAGTTCATCACCAACAACCTTGTAACAATGTCTTCCTCCTATAACGTAAATCGTTTCGCCAATTGAAACAATTGAAAAGCCCTTTAGAACTTGGTTCTCAAGAAGGTCTGGAATTGATGTCAGTCGATGCCATGAATTTGTCGAAGGATGGTAACATGATATCCAATTCGACATGTTAACGTTAGGATTATAATCTTTTTCACAAAAAGAGGCATATATACGATAATAGTTATCTTCATTTTCTTGGAATCGAATAGGATTTCGTGAAGGAGATGAAATGGAACCCATGTTTTTGCTTTTTTTTCTTCCTTGGACTGGGAGAGAGAGAGCCTCTTTCAGTGTGGCATGAGCTAAAAAATATAGGGGAGGGCCAACAGAAAATACCAAGGGTCTTGGAGTTTATTCCTAAGTATGTCTTGTTGTTCTGAATGGTAATTAACGTATATATATGGAAAGTAGCTAGCTTCTTTATATACATTGACCATCGTGTGTAAGAAAGTCACCTTTAACTTATCTTATTTTCACAATTAAAAATCTCACATTTTGAGGAAGTTTACTGCTAGTAGTAAATATCTGATAATATAAAAAATTCTTTACACTGATAGTGTATACATGGCCGGCTCTAACGTTGTTCCAAGTAAGGTTTTGCCTTACGCCCCCAAAATTTTTGGGGCCCCATTTTTTTGGAAATAATAGATTTATAGGTATTTTAAAAAGATAATACTTAGTGCTTTTCATACAAAAGTAGAGTTTTTCTACAACAGTTGCCTCAAAGAAAAGAAGTTTTCAAGATCTTATAATTGATAAAATCTTACCTGAGATTAACAATGTCTTAAGATAGATTAAATGGGTTGACTATATTATTAATTGAAAAGGAATTATTAGAGAAAATCGATTATAAAAAAAATTATTAATAATTTTCTTTTAAAAATTTAGGCCGCACATCAAACTTTGACTTTTAGTCGTGTATATGTTTGAGCCGCGCCTGAATGTATATAACTTAAACTAGTTTAATTATTTATCCTTTTCATTGTTCGAGGTCCAAGGAGGATATTTATGGTGAATCACGAGGAAAGTTTTTGACAAAACTTGGAGCTACTTAGCAGCGGAGACACTGTTTTTGATCTTCATGGGAAAGTTAATTAAGATTTTAATTGTTTCTATGTTAATTTCTAGTTAGAGCAAAGCGTACCTTGATAGTTTCACTCATACAAGGGGCTTTTATTAATTTAAGCTTGTATATACTCGGTCGTCGGATTTCCCTAATGCTGCTTAACTTAGTGATTTTGGTTTATATATAATCATTCCCCTTGTTTTATTACTCTTTGTTGTAAACTCCAGCTTGGTTTATGGAATTCTCATTTGCTTCGTACGTGTAAAACATCAAGCGCATTGCTCAGTCCAAATCTAAGGGGGGAAAAGACAGAAAAAAGGAGACCAAAAACTACTCTCCCACGGGGTGTCAATGAATATTTAAAAATCGACTAAACTAATTAAACCGTACCGTACCGAATTAAATTTTAGGTTTCTTTTAATAAAACCCCAAGTTTTTATATAAATCTATAACCGTACCGATAATTAGGGTAGAACCGAAAAATTACGGAACCGTACCGAATAAATTTACATGTGAAAAATATATTTATATATTAATTTTAAAAATAATAACGCATTAAAATTTTTCTTGGGGCTTGGAATTATGAAAACAGTTACAAGCGAACAACTAATTAAACTCAAAATCCTAATTTCCAAACCTATTATGCTACTCCTATTGAAACTAAATTATTTCCATCATATTCACTAGCAAGCTAAGACACAAGGTATTTTAGCGATTATGAGTAGCAAACTACAATGTATTGAATATGTTTCCTTTCGTATGATTTAGATTTATCTTTTTGAATATTCAATCTTCTATAGACTTTATTCTTGCGTCCGAGTCCCAGCTTGGTTAATATCTTTCCACTCGTGTGATTTATATTTTCTTTGTATTAATTTGCTTAGTTTCTTTTACGTTGCTGTAGAATAGTTGATGGATCTATACTCTAGCTATCTTTCATATTTTCTTAATTCATCACCCTTTCAATGTAAAAATATGTAGAGAGTTTCGCTAAGTCCTATAAAAGTACGTATGTTATTGCATTCTACTCCTACTAGTGACTTTTACATGATATTTTAAAAAAAAAATACGAAAATTAACCGAACCGAAGAGAAATCGATATGATTGGGACGGTTTCGAAAGTCTAATTTTGGTTATACATAATAGAATAACCGAAAAATTGATGTGCCGAACCGAATCATTGACACCCCTATCCCCAACGGAATGACTCATATTGGGTGTTTCGAAATAACAAACGGGAAAATACTGTATAACTGCTCTTAAAATAATAGCAAAAAAAAAAAAATTATTTTTTTTGTATATTTATATATTCTGTATGTTATATACAAAAATTATACAAATTATATATATTTTTTTGGCTACCAAATATAAATAGTTTCTGGCGTGGGCTAAAAGTGAAAAAAGCCCATAACAAACTACTAGATTAGCCTTTCTTTTATGGAAATTTTCCCTTCCTATACAATTTTTGAAACTTATTTACCAAAATTGTCCTAATTTTGTATATTACCAGCCCTAAACAAGGATTACTTATAAATAATATATAATCCCTTATTATTGTCTTAAATTAGGGGATTTAGTTACATCCTTTTGCTTTTTTCTCTCCTCTCCTCTCCTCTTTCCTCACTGCCGCCGCCTCTCTCATCAATTTTTCTTTCTTTCCTCATCACTCTCTCTCACCGTCTCTCTCACCGTCTCTCTCTCTCTCACCGTCTCTCTCTCTCTCTCTCTCTCTCTCTCTCTCTCTCTCTC